GATGACGATGACGATGACGATGACGATGACGATGACGATGACGATGACGATGACGATGACGATGACGATGACGATGATGATGATGATGACGACGATGATGATGATGATGACAGCATTCAAAAAATCACTTTTTATATTCAAGAGGACTCAAAACGCGTAAATCAGTTATTATCACAACATGAATTTTTTTTACCATCACAGTACTTTCTCATATGTACTACATACATGATAACATAGAATATCGCTCTGTTACAAAATATCACCCCAGAAATAATACAGTTATTTTAAAAATGTAATTTTCTATCCTGAATACCCTAGGCGGTAATGACATCGGTGACATTAATCTTAAACATAACTCTGTAATACAATTTTCTGGCGGCGCCCCTCCACTGCTGCTGTACCCATGCTCATGATGGCAGGCTTTCGTCCACAACTGGAAAAAACGCGATGTTGAACAGGAGAATATTTGTTCCAAACATGTAAGCCTATCAGTGATGTCCATGCATTAAGTAAAAAAAAAAAAAGGGTAAAGGTATCACTGTAACTGGCCCTGGAGGCCTATAGGGTTGTGAGATGTTGAGGTCCCAATATTTTCTAGACAGTCAGCTCACAGATGGCGATGAGTTTTTCAGCCTTACGCGCCGGCCGCCCTTTACCCCCAGGAAGATTCCTGGTACTCATTTCTCTTAGAGGCTGAGTCGACCCCAGGGCCATAGTGCGGCTGGAAGGATTAGGTAAATTGAAACATTCCACCTCATCGGCATTCGATCCTACGGCCTTCTGGCTTGTAACATAGTGACTCAACCAACTACGCTACCGCGTGCCCCATGCATAGATTCTTTTCTTAACAAAGAAAAGACAACAAATGTGTGAAAACTGGAAATTAGATGAAATACCATGCATTAAGTATTTATTTATAATTTCCAGTTTTCACACATTTGTTGTGTTTTCTTTGTTAAGAACAGAGTCTGCATTTGAGAACTGTGAAGAACAATAGCCTGATACATTGGCTACTCAGAGGATATACGTTATCAGATATATGATATGGATAGATCAATTAAGATAACATGTGGATTTTGTGATGCCAGAGTCCAAACAGCTTCACTGCTACTTATTTTAACATACACACACAAAGACATCCAGTTCAGATCTCAAACGTTAACATTTATCATGTTTACCACCTCTACCAATCAGGAGCAGACCTTTTCTTCCAAGTGAATAGAGATACAACTCAATGTGACACACATGGTTTAACTGAAATTCCACTTTAAACATGTTTTATTGCATCTGCAAATGTGCCATTTCCAGAATGCAGTTTTTGTTTGGAACTACCTGCAAACATTGTTTCATTGTTGTGAATGCAAGGAGCAATACATATGCAAGCGGTGACTGATTTTAACCAATTACTCTTCATAAATAGAACTTATTTTGAATGTATTAACTATTTAGTCTTTATTTTTACAACTGCTGTCTATTATAAAAAGCTGGGATAGCTCAGTCGGTATGATGACTGGCTACAGACTGAACACCTGAGGGGTTGGCGTTAAAGAGTCCCAGTAGGGTGAAGAATTTTCTCTTCTCCACGTCGTCCAGACTGGCTCTGGGGTCCACTCAATCTCCTATGCAGTGGGTACCGGGGGCCCTTTCCCTGGGGTAAAGTGGCCTGGGCGTGAAGCTGACCACTCACCTCCAGCTAGTTCTGAGGTCAAGAAAGTGTGGATCTATACATCCACTCCCCCATATGAGTTCATGGTATAATGCTTAATTAGTTAAGCACAGGGACAACTTTTCCTGTCAGTGATAATGTGGTAACAACCTACATATGTGCAAACAACAGCATATGTAATCTAATTCCTTTATAGTGTTGGCTTTGCCTTCTGTTGATGACCAGTACTGGCTTTGAAACATAAGGGCAAAACTTTCTTTACTTCCATTAAACTAGCTGCACTTTATGGTGGGACTTCTACTATGCAATGAGGTAAAAGGTAAACTATCCCTGTAACAGCCCACTGAGGCACATAAGGTTGTTAGACATTGAGACTGCTATATTTTCTAGACATTAGCTCACAGAGGGCAGTGAGTTTGTCAACCTTACGCATCGTCTGCCCTTTATCCCCAGGAAGATTCCTGGTACTAATTCTATTAGAGGCTGAGTTGACCCCAGGGCTGGAAGGATTAGGTCAATTGAAAAATCCAATAAACTGATCGGGAATCAAACGCGCGACTTTCCGGCTTGTAGCATAGTGCCACTACACAATGAGATTAACAGTAATAAATGAACATTAAAGGCATCATGGTATCAAAATTTGAGAGAATGCATTTGGAATACCTATTTCCTCTTACACCCTATTGTTGAGGAGCATACCTTGTGTCTTTGGTAAGACTCAAACTGGGTACCTGGCTCTTGTGTTGCAGATGGAGCATCATCGGATGATGGATCACGAGCATCCTACCACACCTCACCATCCTACCTCAGAGGACCACAGTGGGCATGAAGATATGGAAATGGATGAGTGTAGCTCAATGGACCAGCATGGCGGACATGGGATGATGGTGAGAGCCTCGCTGCCATAAAGTGGATCTGTACTTCTCACCAGTTACTACGGCTACTACTGCTATTATTACTGTGATAAATCGATCGACATTTCAATCTGAAATTGTTAAAAGCAAACACTGTCAAAGATATAATAACCTCTTATGGATTATATTATTGTTGTTGTTATAACACCACCACCAGCAGATGTCTTTCATATTATATGAGCAGATTTCCTACTGGCACTTGTAATATAAGACTGAATCTTCCAATACTACACAGTCAAGGTGTCAAATTCCAAGATGCTTTAATTTCTCATTAGTATCTTTAAAAACAGTTTGCTTATCCATTTCTGATACTAAGTCTGTCAGAAACTTTTCAATGCTGGATGCTTCCCATCATGCAGTACTTCAGCTAAATGTTTCTGTGGCCTGGTTCTTTAACTGATATTATTGTACTTGTTAATAACATTATAATAATTGAGGTTTTTTGTTCATACCCCTAATATTATGTTATTTAGTTCTTAGTGTTATATATTCTTTGTATATTTTCTCTTCTTCACTGCTTACCTATAATTGCCAAGCACTTTGTTCTTCTGGTTATTATGAAATGGACAGAAAGTGTGACACATGTGGATGAGATAAGAAATGTTTAAACATTTATTTGGAAAATCTGAAGGGATCAGACCATTTGGGAAAATCAGGTCTAGATAGGAAGATAATATTAAAATGGACATCAGATAGGGAATGAGCTGGAGTTATCTGGCTCTTGATGGAGTTCATTGGTTTTCTGTTATGAATATGGTAAACTGTGCAGAGGGGCTATGTGAGAATCATAGATTGTGATGAGGCTGTGCCAAATACTGCTCACTTCCCTTATTTTACAGATGACATTCCATACTGGATACTGTGAGACAGTGCTGTTTGAGAGCTGGAAGGTGAGCAGTGTAGGTGGGCTGGTGGGCTCCATGATTGGCATTTTCATCATGGCAGCCCTGTATGAGGGCCTCAAGTACTACAGGTACAGTATGTGCTGGTAAGTCCCATGCAGTGTTCTGCAGTCAGGCCCACACAGCTAGATAAACACTCTTGTTTCAGGGAGTATCTCTTGTGGAAGACATACAACTCACTTCAGTACAGAGCTGTAGCGATGCCTGCAGAGAAGGCGATTGGGGCAGAGGACAGTCGGATAGTACAGTAAGTAAACTCAGAACCTAACTGCAACATCAGCCATGGATTAAAACTGTATGCTGACCCGACATTAAACTCCTTACTGACTCTATGGCCAGATGCTGATGTCTGAACTCAGGTTTCAGTCTCCTGCTGTTATATTCATCAGCATAACCACAGAAGTCCCTATCCTGTCCCAGGTGCATAAGATCCTCTGTATCATCATTCTACACCTTCATGTTTGAAGCAGTGCTTTTCATTACAAATGTTTTTGTGCAGTTTGTCATCCCCATGCATGCTATATGTCCAGCCCATCTCATCCTTCTTCATTTAATTTTTTACTCATTATTTATGTGAATACTTCATGCCTTATAAGCAGATGCAATATCATTTCCTCCATGGAAGAAATTGATTCATTGTGTTAGATACATAAGGACTGCATTTAGTATTCCAGTAAACAAAAATCAGCTTGATGTTATGCTGTAATAGTCCTGAGATATTGTTATATTTTAGCGTCCTGTTGCACTGATTTAAGTCCATGATTTATTTTATCCGTCTTCTAGTGCATACATTTATTTATCCCCTCTTTTCACTCTCACTACATGTTTCGGCATCAATGTGCCATCTTCAGGTGCTGATCCACCTGATCAGGTGCTTTAGTATGTAAAGACAAGGCATGCAATGAATTAGTTTGTCGTGGATTGGATCAGCACCTGAAGATGGCACATTGATGCCGAAACATGTAGTGAGAGTGAAAAGAGGGGATAAATAAATGTATGCACTAGAAGACGGATAAAATAAATCATGGTCCTGAGATATTTTGTCTTACCATATTTCATGTCAATTGTACAATGGGAAAGTCCTGCCATTGGTTGATTTCAGATGAACATCGGTATTTATGTACTGTATCTGCCTTTCTGTGTTGTTGTACAAAGTTGTGCTTTTTCATGAATTTTGATACTGATGAAACTGTGTTTGCTTAATGATGGTTGTTGTGTTCTGTTTGTGCAGCATGGTGGGAGAAGTGATACACAAACAGCCGTAAGTTGAACCTGTTTTTTTTTATTTGATTGCTTCTGGTTTCTTGCATGTCTATGCACATCCTGGGGCTTCCCACCTTGTTAGTTAGCCATTCATAGCCATTCTAATTGTCTGGTAGTGTCTCCACATACCCCATTAACGCTGTAGCAGCAGTTGCATGTTCTGAGTACTATTATTGGTAGACCCAAACTAAACCCCTCCCTTTTGCTTTCACACATCCCAAATTACAGTGTAAGTAGTATTAATTTTGCATCTTATTTTTACTTCCTCATACATGTAGTATGTATATATATACACACACACACACACACAAACGCTCGCGCGTGCGAAGGATATCCGGAAAGTAAAGATACAACGTCCAGAAACTATTTGTAAAGCTTTTCTTTTTATTCACTTTTAGCACTTTTACAACACACCTATGTTTACTTTTCAACATAGTCACCATGGATCACAATGCACTTAGTGCGCCTGTGAACAAATTTTTTTTATTCCAACGTCGTAGAAATCTCCCGCCTGCTCTCTTAGCCATGGAGAACAGTTCTCGACACTTCTGAATATTGTTGATGAAGTTCATCGATGGTTAAACGTCTGTCAGCATGAATGTTTTCATAAATTGTTTGGATGATTTCACTGGTGACAATAGATGGCCTTCCACTCCTTTTTTTAATCATGAACATCACTTCTTCCCTCTTCAAATTCACAACACCATTTTGCCATGTTTTGCCTGTTCATAACATCTTCACCATAAACAGAAACAAGTTGGCGATGAATTTCAACGGCAGTTTCTCCTTTCACATGAAGAAATTGGATTATTGCATGAACCTCACATTTGGTGGGATTTTGAACTGACACAGCCATTTTAAACACACACTGCGAGTACAACGTTGCCATGACTGTGGCCGGTGAACTCAGCCTTGTCATATGGTTCCTATCTCACATGGCAGCACAGCACAGGTGATATATCAGGAAGTAGCTGCGCACACACATTAGTGGCCCAATGTGAAATGTCGATTTTTCCAAAACCAGCCTTATCAGTCAGATTTCACTGTTGCTCAGTATTGAGCCACAAATAGCAGTCTACCAAGCAACAGTCAGTATACGTACTTTTGAATACCAATGTCTGTCTGTCACATTTCTTGTAAGTACATCATGTACCTAATAATTAATATTAAATCCCTTTGTATTAACTTACATTATTAATAAAACATGTGGACACTTTAAGCAGGGTTGGCATTGGGCTGAGTTCCTACAGACAACCTTTGCTAATGCAACCCATTATTTTTTCATTTCATTTATTCACCTTCCATAAATCCTGTCAAGAGTACATTCTCATGCGGATGAGATCATCCTAGTTTTAAATATTGTGACAAGAGGTTCTATCTATATAGAATCTGGCCCTCCACATGTATATTTAAAGCACACAACAAACAGAGAAAATCAAGGTCAGCACCCAGTTATGGTTTCGTTACATGTTTCGGCCACTAACGGCTATCATCAGGCAAACATGTATTAACAAACATATACCATTGAACTGCAGTACATTAGATTGGATACAGTGTTATTAATCATTAAAAAATACAGTAAGTCAGATTATATAAAAAACTGAAAGTTATTGTATAAAACAAGATAAAATTTAATTATTTTGAATTGTTTCATTTTTGGTCCGTTACCCTATCAATCACACAACACACAGCACATACGAAACATCTAACCATAAGCCATACAACCTCAAGCTGACATCTCCCATCTTCGGGATGAATTAACAAGGAGGAGCTTAGCATTTTACATCAAATGTTTTAAATATTTTAACATTAGCGTTTTAACTTAAAAACAGTTTCGGATGGAAAGTGAGAATTTATAGTGTACTCAACTATCCTAGCAAGTGTTGTGCTTTTACACGTCACATATTGTAGCAGCGTCCACACAACAAACATAACTGTGAACATCATACACGACAGTGTTTTCATAATTGTAGTAAGTGCCTCTGATGATGGTTGTGTCAAACCGAAACATGTAAGGCAGAAGTGATAAAGAAGTGACCTACAAATTGTTACACTCGACGGACTTTCTATTAACTTTGTGAAAATTTAATTGTTATATAACATCGAATCAATCATTGATTTTTTACTTTTCATAGGTTTCCATGGACAAATTGGAAATTTGATATTTCTTTTATATAAGAATGTATAGGAGGCCCATGATGTTTTCCAGATTAATTAATTGTATAGTCAGTGCCTCATCTTACAAAGAATTGTCCATAGTGTATGGAGAGTAAACAATATGCGTCTGCCTGATTATGGCCTTTAGTGGCTGAAACATGTAGCGAAACAATAGCTGGGTGCTGACCTTGATTTTTTCTGTTTGTTGTGTTGTGACAGTCAATAAAAGAGTTGCGTACTGTAACACAACAGGATGCACGAAATGAAAATTATATTTAAAGCTTTATGCAGCTTGCTGACTGAACAATTCAAAACAGTAAGAAAAGCAAAACATGAATTTGGGAGTTGTCTTCTCAGTAAGGTCAGTCACATTTGGCACTAGGGAAGGGGCCTTAATGCTTACCTTTACATTTTTTATGGGTGGAACTGATCAGTGTCTTTGTTTCCGCAGGCCAACGATGTTCAGCCGTATGCATGGCTTCCAAACATTCCTACAAATTGTTCAGACTGTGCTAAGCTACTTCCTCATGCTCATCTTCATGACGTACAACGTGTGGCTCTGTGTTGCTGTTGTCATTGGCACTGCCGTTGGGTACTTCCTGTTTGGATGGAAGAAGTCCTGCATCGTTGATGTGACTGAGCACTGTCATTGAAAATGAGCTGCACGCACACAGGAGTTTTATGCAGTGATAAGGCATTATACTGGTGACACAAGTCTTGATATTGCCAGGTACAATATGTTTTAATTTTCTAACAGACCAAGAGATCAGCATTCCATTACCTTGTCTTATGTAACAGAAGGTGTGTCACAACTATTTTCCTCACCAAATTCTGTTTTGGAGGTTATGGTTTGACAGAGCTTCCATTTACTCTGTTTTTATTGTGCTCTGTTATTCTGTCTAATTTTAAAAGACTGTTTTAAATTTTGTAATATTATATCGAATAGTTGTGAACATCTCTCAGAAAGACAACCAAGATCTCACAGCTAATACAGTATTGCCTCCATCTTTGTCTGTCTGATCCCTGGTGCTGGACCAAACATGTAACAGCATATGTACTACCTTCAAATGCTGTACAAAGATAAAGTGTTACATTCAATATTAAAAAAAGATGTATTTTGGTATGTCACCCCCATTTGTCATGTTTCTTTTCCCAAGAACTTCACCTTTGCTTCCAGAAACCCATGTGACTGGTCCTTCCTGACTTGGGTACTTGTATTGTTATATGGTTTCTCTTCTGAAAGAAAAGCAAGCTGGTGCAAGTAAAACAAACAACATGCAGCAGCATATGAACTTTTGAACCACTGCAGTGGTAATACATTTTACTGCACAAAATAACCCACATAAAAATATGAACACGAACATGCTCAACCTATTACTGTGCCAACCCAGTCTGTTGCCAATATGACAACCATAAGTATCAACTGCTCCTTTTGCAATACAGTGAAGGTATAAAGGGGTACCTTCTGGCTGTTACTCCAGATAAGAGTCACTACTATCTGTAGAGTATGAGTCTGGGTGGACACTACAGCTATGTTGGACAGTGAAGAGAAAAATACAACCCCTCCACCCCCACCATCCTTTCATTTGTGCTACTGATGGAATGTTAAAAAAATACATACAGGCATAAGCCATTTTTTCCCCAAGCTTTTTCCTACACTTAACACAGTGAGGAGCTTTGAGCACTAACAAGTTAGTGCCACTGCTACTGCTCTCAGCATTCCAAGCCATTCAACTGCTCTGAAGATGGAGGCGCTATGTTCCTCTGAAACGTCGGCCAAAACGAAGAATACACGGTGCCTAAACCCAGAAGACGACTTTCTTCATTGTCATCGCCGTGAAAACCTCAAAACTTACAAAGTTAGTAATGGACTGAAAAACAGATTGGGGAATTCATACAGAATTTCTGCAAGGTAACTTGTAAAATTCATCACATAAATAACCCAAAATACAGTGAGGAGGAGTATATTAATATGCATGGTAAGGAAGATTACAGTACAGTGGATTGGCTTAGGGTCAGTTCCAGTGTTAGCTGTGCCAGGAAACACTTCAAAGGTGCAAAATAAATCACATCCTTCTGCTTAATCACCATTGCATTAGGAAGCCTAAGTACAAACACATTTTATTTAGTTTTTACATCTCAGAATCACAAGATTTGCTGCTATGGAGGAACAGGCTCTGGTTTTCTGGGTTGGGGTGTTGAAGCCATCATTTTGCTACAGTGAAATAAACATGCCCTGAAGACAGTCGGCACCGAACTGCCTCAAGAAGAGTCTTTCATAACACCACACACTGGTCTCTTAATTACTGTGGTAGGTGCTTCTAACTTACATTACATGAATATGGCAGGAAGACTCAACTGTCAGGGGCAACAAGTTAAAAGCACAAATCAGCACACAGACCGTTGCTTAACACACACACACATTGATCAGGAGCATGCTCAAGTTGGTCAAAAAACTCATTTTACCCTTTTACAAAAACAAAACGCATTTAAATACTGACTGATCCATTCCAAAAAGAATGATAAAATGGCATGATGATGCACAACATATGCTCCTGACCACAGAGCACCCACCTGGTGGTAGTCTAGACCCTCCTGCAAAATGATCAAATGATCCTCTGGACAGTGTGTCTGGCCACCATGTCCAGATTACAGGGCCTTAGAATAACATACACAGCAGAACCCACTTTAGAACTGACGTATCAAAAGTAGTTTTTGTGGAATGCACTCACAAAATGAGTATCTAAACTTGTTGGAGCATTAAGGGCCAAAGCAGTTATTTTCTGGAATGATGGAGTTGTAAACTGTTGTCTGTTCACTGGCCTGCACAAGTCACTGTACACTCAGAGACCAACATGGCAAGTCATTAAGGCTAAATGATACCAACACTCATGTGCAACATATTGCTGACATCACACAAGTCAGTTATAACACATATTTCGGTCTTTCCTGTTCCCTTTCTTACACAGACACATTTCAGTAATTCGTTTCATTTTTAAAAGTCTTCCATGAAAATCTCAGTGTCTGTTGCTGACAAAAATTCCTCTTACAAGACAGGCACAAATTCTGCACATTGAGAGGATAAACTTAAAAAAAAAATAAACTCTTCGCTGGGCTGCAGAAATTCACCTGGGTGTCATTTCTTTCAACAGGCCTGAAACTTCGCTGCACCATTACACTCAGTATAACCCAAGATGCATTCAGTTGATGTAAGTCATGCTCCCCTGCTACATGTCCAGGAGAGACTTACCAGGAGCTCTCTGTTGGCTGTGCCATAACACGGCATGCATAACATTTTGCAAAGAAAATTACCAAAATCACAGCACATGTGGAGCTTAATAACAGTCCATCTGTTAACCATAATCCTGGTATTTTGATACAAGAGACATAATGTGATAAAGAGAAGCTAGAATTCATACCAAAAGAAATATACCACTAAAAATAAAATAACAGTTTATTCAACAGCAACAAACATCTCTCATCTCATACAAAACATGTGAACTGGAGAAACTGCTTGCTTAATCTGTCAAAATGAAGCTGACTGGTAATGGGAAAAGAGAATCATAAAAAATATAATGCAAACCAAACTGTCACTCTTGAATATAAAAATAGATTTAACAAAGAGCCATACACACCAGCATATGATTGTATCACACAATACCAGTGCACAAAATTCATGATTTGATCACCATGTGGATGCAGTGTGATATGAGCAACAGTGCAAATGGAGTTGGTCACAGCACAATAATAAATCCTAAAAATTAATTATATTCTCTTGACACAGCAGAATGATGACAACAACCACACATGATCATGAGGAGAGGTGAAGCTTCATGTAATAATAAATTACAGTTTCTTGCTACTTATTTACAAAATATGAACCATCTAGCTGATGAAGGAAAAACTGGAAACTACCAACACACAGGTCATGATCTCACCAGTCCAACATCAATGTCACAAAACATAAATTAATATATACTGGTACTCCAAACTAAAAATTTCATTCCTCTCAATGTACAAGTGTTTTCGCACACAATTCGCTCGACGACACACACTCAACACTCACACAAATGAAAACAATTGACAAAGTATATTGCCACTTAACTATCCTGTTAATATTTGCCTTCATTATAACGATTCCTCAAAAGCAGCCATTAGGTCACTCTGCATGTTCATGTCGATTTGTCCAGCCATCTGGAAAAACAAAAATGATAAATTATGATCATTGATCTACTCTTTTCAAGTTAAAGGTGTGCCATAATAAAATGAGAGCTACCCCTCTTTCTGGGAAGAGTTTCCACATTCCATATGGAAACCACAACCTTCATCCAAACACAAAATAAAGCATGCTTCACTTACTGCTTCCCTGCGACGCCGTTCCTGCTCACGAAGCCGCTGCCGCTCACGTTCAGCAGCTGACTTATCTGGGACCTGTTGATTAGGATTAATGCTTTCTTGAGGTGGTGATGTCTTTGCATCTTCCTGTCGTGACTGCTGCTGCTGCTGCTGCTGCTGGTCCTGAGCAGCTTTTCTGCAACCAGGCACAACACTGCTTAAAAATAAATGCTCTTGGGCAAATATGAACACCGAAACTGCATCAAACAGAGACCACTCTGCCTCCAGAGTCACTGTTTACTTTGATGATGACTAATTGCCTAAGGATTGCCTGTGATTGATTGCTTCAAATCTTGTGAACACATTCCAACAGAACATAGCCCATAGCATTATTAAACAAGAATATGGCCTGCCCCTCACCTGACTTTCTCAAGTGCCTCCTCCTCTTCGCGTTCTCTCCGTTTCTCATTCTCAAGGCGTAACCTTTCTCTTTCCTGCTGCTCTTTCTGAACACGGCGTAGTTCCTGCTGTTCAATCAGTGCACGTTGCTATAAACAAGAGAACTGCATTACCCACTGTTAAACAGAAACCCACAGACAGAAATTCTTGTTGCAAATTTTCCACTATGGAATGCCACAGTCAGCAGGATATGACTGAATAAAACAGCTTAGGCAAGATATGTGAATGACTACATACCCGATCCATCTTTTCCTTTGCCTGCTTCTTAAAGGCCTGGAAGCTGTTGTCCATGGTGGACTTGAGAGAGGAGGTAGTGGGACCAGGTGTGTTCTGTGGAGATGATGCTTGGGCAAGAGAAGACCAGGAGCTGGCATTCTTCACGTTCTGTTCCAGAACAGGCGACAGCTATAAAGTACAGTGCACAACACCCCCACAGATACATGAATATACAACAAAGTCACGAAGTGTAGCATGCAAAGTAACAACATAAAGCCTCAGTGCCATGAAACTAACATTTTTCTTTTTTGTTTGGGTTCATGTTTTATATCTATATTCTTTTTATCTTGAGTGCATTCTTCAAACATTATCTTGTTACCCCATGGCCTCCAGCCAGTACAAGTGGAAGACTTCAAATCCCCTATTCCTGGACAATAAATGTTAATATGCATGTTCATAAACATACTTACAATGCTATCTCCAGCATTCTAACCAGGCATGTGTCCCATCCCACATTTTTTCGAAAAAAATCATAATTTAGAGAAAAAAGAGAACTACCAAATAGTAATGCCAAAAATTAAACTTATTTTTAAAAGAATCAGCTATTTGTTTCAATATAGAGACCCACAACTCTAGGGTCATCTGTAAATATAGTCTTAAATTGCTTGAACATAAGCCAATTTCTCTAGCCCCCTACAACCACTGAAATTCTTTATATTTCCCTCAGTCCCTCCAGATGAGTGCTATGGCAGTGACCACAAGTATGTTAGTGACTGTTCCCTCGCACCGTTCTGGTTTGCCTGCCCTCTCGTCTCATTCACTGGTAACTGAACGCCTGGCTTCGTGTTGTTACTTGCAAACTAGTTCTACTTACAATCCTAACCCTGGGGTCAGCAACTTTCCTTATGCAACCTGCACTGTACACACTTTTTTCTGTTTCTTGTGTCATATGACCCCAAGGAAGTATTTCTGTTACATTTAACATCAGGTATTTCAACAGTTATATACTACCAAAACAATTGAAATACAATTTGTTTACCAATATATCTTTTGTTTCTTCTGTTCCAATTCCTAATTTGTGTCAGTCTGAAGATCATAAACGGTGTAGCCCCGAGAGAACACTACAGTCTATAACAAGAACTTCATTACAACAGGTGAATCACTAGCAATACCAATTTCTTAATGTTACTTAAATAAACAAACCTTGCACAAAAGGAGGGGTATTTCCAGCACACTAGTGAACTAAATTACAGAATAACTGTTCACACCGTCCAGTGTGATTCAATTTGTACATATTTATTGCCTTTACATGTTTCAGTCAGCTGACGATCTTCAGAAGGCATAAGATCAACATGTTCAGGAACTGCTATTGCAAAGTTCATCATACATGCTTGCAATTCTTTTTCATATAAAAAGGTATCTACAGTTATTTGAATTAAAATCTTATTAATGTCTAATATTTGAGATCTTGAATCAAGTTGATTTGTGTCCTTGTGCATCACTGCAAGGACCTCTGAGGACTTCAAATAATACACAAATTTCCAATTTTAAAAGAACAGACACAAGGGCACAAACCATATAGGTTCAAGATCTTAAATATTAAGACATTAATAAGATTTTAATTCAAATAAATGTAAATAACTTTTTATACAAAAACTTCTAAGTATGCATTACAAAGAAAGTTGTCTTCTGGAAATCTGGCGCCATGTATTCTTGGTTTTAACCGACGTTTCGGAGGAACGTATCGCCTCCATCTTCAGGGCAGGTGAATCACGATGCGAATACAGAGAACAGTAGCTGTATTTGCATCACAATTCACCTGCCCTGAAGATGGAGGCGATACATTCCTCCGAAACGTTGGTTAAAACCAAGAATACACGGCGCCAGATCCCAGAAGACGACTTTCTTCATAGTCATCACAGTGAAAACCTCAAAACTTACATATGCATTACAAACTTTGTAAAATAGTAGTGCCTGAACATGTTCATCTTATGCCTTCTGAAGATGGTCGGCTGACTGTGAGCAGGTCCTCCCCTCTTTATCTTTCTTTAGAAAGGGGACAATGCCACTTTTGTTCCTGGTTCATACCTTGCGTCCTCAATGTCTCCCTTCCCAAGGTACAATGGTGTGTCCAAGTTGCAATCTTAAGTAACAATAGCCCAAAAATCTCCAGATAACTAAATAACAAATATTTAATACAACAAAATTAATCAAAATGGACAATCCAAATACAAACTCTACTCACAACGTCCCAAAACTGACGTTGCATAGTTTAGGGATCCCTCCATCAATGACCGGTAGGGAAGAAAAGACCAAAACAAACCTGAATTTTGAAGAAAAAACTCAAGACAGAACTCCACTCACCTACCAAGTCGACAGCAAGCCACTCCCTCTTACAAAATTCTCCTATGGAATACAAGCACACTGGGTTTGCAGAAGTCAAAACAGCGCCCCCCACCAAAAAAGAATGGGGCAATACAAAACCCCAGGCAAGTAAAGTAAAACACTCCTAGAAACCCCTAAATAGCGATGCTCTAATGCAGTTGTCTCAAACTAGGGGACGCTAGCCCTCCACAGCCAGTAGGAGAAAAACCAAACGGAATTTGGACCAACGAAACCTAAACGGAATTTCTCTACCTCCTTCACGGACCGCTTGTAACTCAGTGAGCTTCGTCCTCTTTTTTCCTCACTAGACCCACTTGACTAAGCAGGCTAGAAACAGCTGGAGGGGAGGGAAATCACATGACAGACTGGAATGGGACAACATTCTAGAACACTGAAGGAAGGGTGAAGGGGGGGAGATAGGAAGAGAGGCCGCTGAAACTAGCCATGAATAGTACGCATGGCTGAACCGAAACGTGTAAAGGCAATAAATATCTATAAATTGAATCACACTGGATGGTGTTGATTATTCTATAACTGATTCCTAACTAGCCACAAATGTTTACTGTAAACTTCTGCACCCATGAAATCTACTTGCAATTTTGTTTCAGGAGCAACTTACACAACTGATGTTCCAAAATATATAATTAACCACTTTGTGTCTCTCCCTTGCTTACTAGAAGGAAGTCCACTATTCCAGAATCTGGAGATGCCCTTTCCAAATTTCCTCCAGGGACAATGTATTTCACATGGTTTACTCTTAAGTTCTTCTGTAATTGTGTCTCCTCATTTTATTTGTTCAAAATGGAATACTTGAATACAAAGATTATCTCTGTGAAACAGGGTGCTCATCAAAGAACGAGGCACAAAGACAGTACATATTCACTGCTCAGGCACTGTTCAACAATTTTATGAGGAAATAAAAATTATGACCATTAACACAGAAAAAAAACAGATGTGGAATATCGAGAATGAGGATTTGGAATCCACAGAGTCTTGCCAGGAAATATGGGAGAGTTCACTTGGCTGATAGACCATTGACAAGGCAAGAGAAGTCACTTCTATGCCACCCATAAAGACCAGAACTTCGGTGTTGTGAAGAGTGGCTTTGCCATTTCAAAGAAGAAGGTACACAGAAAGCATCAGGTGAACTGTTGAGTCACATCTCTCAGACAAGTTCCACAGATGTCAGTCAGTCAACACATTCCTTCTTATGCGCATACATGCATTCGCAGCAAGTGACGGACAAAATGCATAGGCCACATGGTGAACCGTGGGTGGCACATGAATAGTATGGACAGAGTGAACTGTGGGACTTGTAGGCACACAGCATATAAAGAAAGAAATAGTTCCTACTAAGTGGTCAGTAATAAGTACAAGAATTGTGGGGGGAGGGGTTAGGTGTTACTAAAGACACTGACGATTAATTATTGCTCATTATTTTCACATCTCCATGACAGCCACTTACATTAATCATTTTAACCATCAGTGCCATATTGTGATATACATACTCTGAGGGTAAGAGATGGCCTTGAAGATTACGTCTATCCATTTTCAGGTATCACAAGTACCACACACGAAGAACACTTTTTACAGATTAACTCATTATAACAGGGTACACTGAATCCTTTGAGTTTATAATCTTACAGGACAGGTTCACAAAGATCCATAACAGAAGGTGAAACATGGAATTACTTGATGCAGAACACCTCCAAGGTGTTGCTCACCGTAAGCTAGCAATGAACAGCAGAAGGAATTGTACATGAAGCAATTAAAACTTCCTTTATAATAAACAAACATTAATTCACACGAAACAATTTACTGTTAAGTGATGGTAGGTACAGAAACTGGAGAGAAGGCAGGCCTAATGAATGGAGTCAGTATTAAGGCTTCAACATTCAGTTATAACACTTTTTTTTTCCTTGGCACTACAGCCCCAGTGGGCCTAGGCCTACCTCCATGAACTCCGTTCGCTTCGGTTTTTCTAGATCTTACACATATGGTTGGACTCCTTGGGTGAGTGATCAGCTCGTCGCAAGGCCTCTACCTGTAGAAAAACACAGAAAAAACGCACACAAACATCCATGCCCTGAGTGGGATTCGAACCCACGATCTCGGCTTCCGAGCGAGCGAAGACAGTGCATGCCTTAGACCGCTCAGCTACTGTGACCGGCCAGTTATGACACATAATTAAATTAAAATTAAATATGCATGAATTGTTTAACATATTGTGACATGTTGCGCTAAGGAGAACCACCCCCCACCAGCAGTGACGCGGCGGGTG